AGAGAGGAATAAACAGACTAAATGCACCTACATGCTATGCTGCTTGTCGATCTTGTAGTTTATTAAACCAGAATTCCTGCTTAAAATGATGTGCAAATGTGGCCACTGAATAAGATAGATTAAAAGCACAGCTTCTAGAAGCTGGATTATCTACTTCATTGGGGCAATGCCTGCCTCCATGCTCTAGTTTGAAATCAAGTGATGTATTTCTCTCCCCCAATATAATTTTAAAGCAAAACATAACAAAAACCACATATGTATCCATTCATACTAATAGTGAGATTTGTTTATTTGTTTATACTGTTTTTCTTTATACTGTCCAACTACTAGCATCTCAGGAGATGAAAAAGTAAGCTCTGTTTTGGGTGGACTGGAATGTCAGAGTGATAGATTAATGGATGCATCATACCTTACTGCAAGGATGGCATGCTAAAAATAATTCTGTAGGATAACCAAGTATCCAAATTTCATTCTTTTTTTCATTCAAAAGTTTTTTGTGTGAAAAGAAAAGCAACTTTAGTTGCTTTCATGCCAGACCTTTTTTTTCTTTTCTTTTTACATTGCTAAATTCGCATTGCCAAATAGCATTTAGTGTAGATCTGTAGTAATCTCTGTCTCTACAGGCAAGAGCCCAATACAGGTCTACTCAGAAGTAAATCCTAGTCAGCAAAAGTCCTGCATTCTCCTTATAGTTTCCTCCTTGCTTTCTTAAAATGCCTTACTTTAGTGCATCTCTGAATTGGCTCTTAAGTAAGTCTTATTGGAAATTTAACAGGCAATAGTTTCTACTTTCTCTTTGAAGGCAGAGATGCTCCTTGTTATTTCTTTTTTGAAAGATTAATTTTGCAGCCAGGATTAAGCTGACATTAGTTTTGTGTGGTTTATTTTAATATGACACCTATGGTCCACCAATCTGTCTTAAATTTACAAAGTAAGAGCACATTTTTAAGATCTCCTCACAGGCACAAAGGCATGAGTAAACAGTGTAAAATAAGCCTAAGAATGCACTTTTGCTTAAGAATACAAGAAATGTCTTGCTGTGCCAGATGAAAGTTTACACACCCTATTTTTCTTAAGACTCTCTGAAACCAACAGGAGCCAGGTGGTCTATTGGAAATTGGTCAGTTATTCCCATGGTGCCCCATGGTTCATTTTCTGCCCACTGCAGTTCTGTGCTATTCCCGCATATGATCATATTTCATTATTTTGGAACCAGTCTATAGTGACAGGTGATTGACGTAGATTTTTAATTCTTTATTTCCCTTATTTCCATTTTGTGACCATCTTTACTGATACATGACCAGACAATACTAGAAATGCATGGGAAAGCACCATATGAATCCAAGGTGCTTATATCCATAAGATGACAATAGCAAAATACGTCTTGTATGAATCTTTATAATAAAGAATGTTTGTGAAGTGCTCTCCTCAAATTTCAACTGAGCCATGAATTCCTTAAGTGACTTTGAAGTAAATTACTATCTTCACCCTTTACAGAGAGCTTGATCTCAGGGTAAAGGGCAGTCTTGCAAACAATCATGGGGACTCCTAGTCTGGGTATCCCCTTCCATCTTTGGTGAGAAGAGAAGAAGGAAAAAGAGACGCTTGAATTCCTTAGATTCTTGGTGAGCAGGGGCAGTCACCAACAAACTTATGAGAGAAAGAAGTGTTTTTTTTAAGATTTTTTTTAAAATTTAAACTGAGATGACAGATTAGTTCTATATTCTTTTATTATTATTTTCATTAAACAGTAAAATACAGAGAAAGGATACTGGGATCTTACACAAATATTACATATCATATCAAGATTTTAAAAAATCACAAAAAGTCAGTAATTATTATTTCTTCTGTATTCAGTTAAACTAATTGCTACTTTATTTATTTATAATTTATAATTCTTAATACTTATTTCCCATTCATTTTAAATTCATCTTAAATAACAACAAAGTATTTGAGTCCTAATATAACTTTCATAGATTTATCCTTTTGTGGTTTTTAATTTGATGAACTGTGGTGGTCTCTGCTTGTACAAGTGGAAAAACTATGTCAAATTTTAGTTGTTAGAAATAATTTTCTGTTTGTATTCCTAGCTTTCAAGGTTGGTACATTGAGATCCTGACCTCTGGTTTATTGTTCAGAATTCTAACTCGCTCTTTAGTTCTCTTAGGCCTGCTAGATCTTCTTCTCTCAGTCTTCCTATAGCATTTGTTGTTCATCCAGTTCCCCACCAGGTAGAATATCTGACCTCTCTCTCCATGATTCCTATCTACCACTGCAGTAGTTAAGCCTGTGTAATTCCAGAAAACCTTTTAGTTGGGAAGATTTTAAATTTGAGGTTCCTACTGTGAGTATAGCAGTTGATGTGCATGGGATGAGGGGTAGGAAGATGGCATTTTTCCATGTTCAGATTTTTCTTTAATGCCAGTATTCTTTTAAGGGTACTAGTACTTCTCAGTGGAAAATGTTAAGCCTGGAAAATGCATACTTCTTTTCTGAGAAATTGCTTTGTAAACAGATGGGCAGAAAAAATTGCAATATTAATCAGCATGCCACCCACAATCAGTAACCATTGGAAAATGGAGGGATGAAAGGGGCATTGGAGGAACTTTTGAATCAGATGAAAACCATGAAAGCATCAACAGTGTTATCTTGCAATTTGACATTCTTTCAATGTACTCTTAAAAACAGGCACTATTATTTTCAAAACAAAATTAAGAGGTTTTATGATCAATTGGCAGATTATAGTAATTTTTAAGTATCTTCATGGCAAACTGTAGCATTACTGAGTGATTTAATGATAAGCCAGAGAACTCTGATTTAATTATCATATTCTTCTTTCCTGATATATTTTATTTATTTATTTATGAAAACATTTTTAATATATCACTGATTGGAGTATGAGAGTGTTTTACTCTTTAAGGCAGCCCCAAATAAAATTTAAATTAAAATAATGCTTTGAAGCAGATGCAAAATTTGACTTCATCAAAGTTTTGTTACTTGAATATGGTGGTTTATTTCCTCAGTTTTTATCCGAGTCTAATTCATAGATTTGCTACTGCCAAAGTGATGCTGGTTATCCACCACAGGGTCAGCAAGAGTACTCTAAGCATTTATCTCAGTCAGGGATCCCCAAGCTTTGGTACCTGTGAGAAGATTCAGGAATTTGAGACACTCCTATGGGCAGGCACCACCACACAGTAGAAAATACTTTCACACCACAAAATAGCAAGTCACATAATGATTGCTGTCAGGGGCAAGCTAAAGAAGTATTTGTAGGAGGAGAGAGAAATAGCAAGGCTACAGGCAGGAATGGGAGAGAGGCCAGAAAGGAAGAGAAAGAAGTCATAGGACAGGAAAGGGGAAGAAATAATAAGGCATGGGTTTGGGGGAGAACAGTAGCAAGGCTGGAGACTGGGAGTAGAGAGAGAGGGAGAGGGAGAGCAAAAGGGAAAGGTCTGTATGAGTAGAAGACTCAGTGGGGGCAGAAAGCAACTCTTTCCTTCTCTGCTTACTTAGCAGCAACTGATCTGCAGCAGGTGCAGGAACAGAAAGGAGAATCTGGAACTTGAAAGTTTTAAAGGGTTTTTACTCAAAATAAATTTTTGAAGGGAGCAAGGAGTGGAGAACTTAATGGGTGCAATGGGAGGTCCCCAAGAGCAGCCATAATGTTATCTCATTGCAGGGGTGAGTGGTGGGGAAGGACTGTGCCTCCAACAGTCTCTTGCAGTCTAAGTCTTGCATATTCACTGTGTGAGACTCAACCTTCATTAAGGGCGACGCAAGGACAGGCTTTTGTCAGAGACCTTTCTGTAACAAAAGAGCAGGGAGCTGTGAAAGTGAGGCCTCTCAATGTAATCCCTGATGATACTTAGGAAGAAAAGTAATAAATATGTTTGATTTTGTTTGCTGAAATGGCCATCATGACCACTAGTTTGTTTTATTTATGTGTTATGTTATCTTATGTAAGCTGCTTTGAGCTCAGATATTTAAGCTGAATTTTTCAAAAATAGCATAGTAACCATCTGGAGGTACATTTAGCATTTGCAAGAACCCACTTGGAAAATGCCTCTGCCCAATTTTCTCCATTCCCTTTGACATATGTGAGGAGGTTTTCAGGGGATCCAAATGCAAGCAGCAACTGCACAAGCTCTGGATTTAAGCCAGTGTGTGCACAAGGCCTTTGTTCAGAAGTATAGCGCCTGTAGATCTCATGCATCATCTGAGCTCAGCACAATGCTCACAAGACTGCCTTGGGAGATCTGTCTCTTAGTCTTCAGCTAGTCTATGTCAGCTGTCAGCTATAACACCAGATAGACAGAAATATGAAATATCCTTTTATGTTGAAAAGTACCATAGAAATAAAATGTGCATCAAAATATAAGGAACTACCCTATGAGTAGTTAAGATTGATAACAGACTTTAACACACTGGTTACTTTCCTTCTTTTAAATGGAGGTTATGACCTTTTCGACTGAAGAGACTCCTTCCCTACCCACCCTGCAGATAATTGCATAATGAATTATTTTTTGACTCAAAGAAAATGCATCTCAAGCACTTTTCCATTATTGCTTTACCATGCTTGACCTGGCAGCAAAGCCCAAATATGGCACTTTACCTCTTGTCTTTATCTGCACCTTACTTTAACATGCATGTTTTTAAAATATACCTGACTGAATCGTTGCCTTGCTCATTTGCACAAAGAGCATTATTTCTGCTTAATGCTTCCTAGACATATGATATAATGATTGAATATGAAATACTTAAGAAGTCTTACTATGACTTTCCTTCTTTTCAATTCTGTTAATTTATCACAATGGAAAAATAATTTAGCAAAGTCGTCTTTCCTTTTCATAATCTAAGCATTGATGTTCAAAGTGTTTATTTGGTTATAGTGAACCAGTATTTAAATTTTTAAAAAGCTAGTGTTATGGCCATCCAGTATTCAAATGAATGCACGCCCTCTGATGCAATTAGCAAACTGACTACTTGTGTATTTACAGCATCAACAAGGAGAGCATTGTTGACATTGAAGGTGTTGTAAGAAAAGTGCCACATAAAATTGGAAGCTGCACTCAGCAAGATGTTGAACTGCATGTTCAAAGGGTAATAATTTTATCAGCGAATTAAAATGTGCTATGATCATTGTTTCATGTTGATTTTAGGCTTTATGTGGTTTCTTTCTCCAAGTCTAGTCTTTCTTGGTGAACATTTATGAAAGCAGGTGGCATGAAAATTGATTTATCCTGCAGATTTGTTTAAAATAGAATTTAAATAGAATCTGAGGGTAACCACGAACCAGTTTTATATGTATATGAGCAAGAAGAATCATTCTCATCTGTTCTTTAAATGACTAGTTTTAGGCTGTGTAAAAATCTGTTTCCATCAAGAACAGCAAATACAGAATGCTCTGCTTTTCTTTCTAGGAATGACTAGTTCACAATTTCCCCAGAAATCTGTTCAGAAATAGATGGATAATACAAAATGTGCAAGCATCCGCTGCTTGTGTATAATACAATGCACTTACTTTCTAACTTTCCTTGGCAATTTTGGAAGGTAGAACCATTGATATTTTTGCTGATAGTAGTAGTGGGAGACAGTCCAGAACTTTGGAGTGTTGACTTCCGCATGGGAGGAGGCAAAGGTGAAAGGCAGTCAGCCTCATAAAACATACAAGAGAGTTGGCTACATTTTTTCCTCCTTTTCACTGAAAGGGAAATGACATGCAGACCAGTTTAAAGAGAATACTACTTCAACCCATGCAGTGCTGAAGCATTGAATAAATTGTGCATTTGTAACACAGCTTAAATCTACATAACTCTAAGTTATCTCTAGCTAGAAAACAAAAATCAGTTCTGAGAATATGTGATAGTTTAGTCAAAGCTACTGAAATTTTATATGTCTTTTATGAGGTTATTCATTAAAGAATAATCAGAATCCAGTATCATGTAAGTGGCATTTCATTTGTATTAGGTCTTCTCCTCCTCATCTGCAGTTCCCTTCTCCTCTCAGAATCTGCCCCAAAGCATTCCCCAGTCCTTTGGAACAAAGTCTGAGAGGCACTGATGCTACAGAGGGGAGAATGGCCACCTTTTATTCTGGTGATTAAAGCTGTTACGTCAGCAGGATAGGGATTCTGAATTCTACCCCTATTTTTCCCTATACATCACATATAGGCTTCGGCAAGGGGCGGCATAGAAATGTTTTAATAAATTAATAAATAAATAAATATAATATTACAATAATAACATACTGTTACCATGTTTAGTTTTTGTTCTTTCTGTCTCTCCTTTAAATATACACAGTAATATCAGTTCCATCTTTACTAAAGTTACTGCAACAATATATGCCATAGGACGTCTGGCAAAGCACCTGCAAAGAAGGAAGGAGTTGAAAAACAGAATTTGAGTTTTCAGAAAGACTAGTTTCCTGCCTTATATTTAAATCATTTAATGCTGCAGCTCTCCACCCAGATACCTGGGAGTAAGTCTGCCTGCCCTGCCCTGCATAGGATTGTTCTCTAAATTGGTCTGTTATATATTCTCATAATAGAAGACACTATTTTAAGATCACTGTGTTTTTATTGCATGTTTCTGGTATTGCCATAAAAATATGTCCAATTAAATGTTGTGTCTTTGCTTTTTTGAGACTTAGTCAATATTCTTTCAACAAACAGTTATGCAAACTTTGTTTCATATTTCTGCCAAAAATATACTTCCATATAGCACTCTACAGTTTCCACAGCATATTTTTTTAAAAAACTGTGTTTCAGATATATGTGATCAGTTTGGCTGAACCCCGACTGCCCTTGCAGCTGGATGATGCTATTCGGCCAGAAGTGGAAGGAGAAGAGGTGAAACTACATTATGTTTAAAAAAGGATAAGCAAGAGCTTGACTTCTCAGTAGCTACTATTTATAATTTCATTTTAAAATGCTTGAATTTTGCAGTCATCAGATATTACCTTTTCTCTTGTTTGTGTTTCTTTTACTATTGATGTAGAAAATAATGTTTACTTCTAGTAAAAATGGAGGGGGACTGAACTATTGCAGTGAGTGATATTCCAAGATTTTATGCACAGATTGTTAACAGTTGGCTCCACAGTCCTGAGGTTTCTCACTTCTGTTCCTGTGAGGAACTTATATCATAAACATGGGGGTATAGGGAGAGGGGGGGAGAGCAGGGTTTGGATAGGATGCGTCTGTGTTGATTAGTAATCCATTAATAGACTTTCAAAATGTCCTGCCCCTAACGCAAAATCTGGCTTAGTCAGACCTGTGGGAAAACTTAATATCAGAAGTTCCCAAACATTATCCTTTTTTCTCTTTTCTGAGAATGTCTCAGAAAAGGCTGAACTGGTCTCCCCAAGCATAAGCTGATGACAAAACCATCCAGATGGAATATTCTCATTCCAGCTGTTGGGGATCATGATTTTTAAAAAGGGAGTGCGGCAACAATATTGGTTTGCAACACTCTTAAAGGCCAAAAAATAAGGCTGTAAGGAAGTGGTTAGGCTCTACTGAATTACCCCCAGAAATACACTCTATAAGCTGCCTAGAGCTTGGTTTATCCTGGTTCTCCCACTATAGCCAGGGATAGTGATAATAATGGAACCAGTTTGCACCTGCTGCTTCAATTGTGTTTACCTTGCACTTCTGGCTTCATACTTGAGAATCAGATCAGGAGCACAGGAAGCTTCTGTACAGAAATACCACTGTCGGAGACAATATGAGGCACAGACCGCACAGCCGCTTTTCTTGGTGCAGTGAAGTCACACACTCAGTGTGTTGAACACTGAGCAGGTGTCTGAGTTGGAAGCATGAAATTCTTTGGTGTGGTCAGCTTGTGAAGTTTGCCCTGAATGTGCAATAAAAACAACAATTCCTTATGTTGCCAGATATGCATTTCTTTTTTCTCTTCCATATGTGCGGTTTTAATTGTGTTTGCTTTTGCTACTGTTCAGGAAGGAAGAGCTACTGTGAATCAGGATACAAGGTTGGACAACAGAGTAATTGACTTGAGGGTAAGATCCCAGTGTGTTGAACCTGAAACTGATCAAATGGTTAAGAGGGTGGTGAGAAAAGTATTTATAATGATTTTATTATCTGTTTCTGTAAACTAGTTTCACTATAACAGAAGTTTGTAATAATTATTGTGCTAAAACCCTTTACTGAGCTCCTTAAATATGTGACATAAAGTATCAACGGTTTGTTTTTAAAAGTTGCCACTGATGTAAGAAGCTTAAAAGAATTTTGGAGATTATGTCCATTGGTACATGTATGTATAGAACACAGTGGCTTCTTTATACAGTTTTACTTAAAACTGAAATAGTTATTTTGCCCAGAAAGAAAGCAGAGAAAAATACTGTCATTTTATTTGGAGTAGAGTGAAAAGCACCCTCAGGAAGGGGGCAGGATATTCTACCTTTCCATGCCTCTTTGCAGCCATCATTCTCTAATCTGCTGATGCTTTGATGCCCTTTTTAAATGGGCTGCTTTTTGTCCTTTGTTGTGTGATCCCAGTTTTCCAGACAATTGCCTAGTAGCACATGCCAGCTTCAAAGAACTGCATAGGCAACCAAGTGCTGGCTACATGGTGATATAAGCATTTCACTGCTCTGAAGCTCCAATCCATCTCTGTCCAAACTGGAGTGTACATCAGAATTCACACTCAGATGTGGATTCCCCTGAGAGTAATCAAATGCTGACTATCTGAGTATCTGCAGTGACATCCATATTCTCCTGGGGAGCAAGTGATCCTTTGGGTGACTAATCTCTGTTCTGCTGTACTGCAGTGGTGCAGTGGGCTTCAGTGTGACAAAAGAGGGAGCAATCGCACAGCAGCCAGGCATGGAAAATGTTCCTGAAGCTCATCCCTGCTCTCTGGCTTTGATTCAGCCATTGTTCATAAGATGGGGTTGTCTGGCATGACTGAAAGTATTAAAATGTAAAATAGTCACAGCCAAATCCCTTAATGGGGCTTACTCCCAAGTAAGAGTGCCTAGAATTACAGGCTTAGCTACATTAAGGCTTCGATATTGTGCATATTTTCCTGGGAGTAAGCACCCATGGAACATGGAAAAGCCATCTAAAGAATAAGCAAGCATAGGGTTGTTCTGTAAGATTTTTAATGGGACGTACATAGACCAATATGTAGCCATGGTACGTAAAATAAGAAATATTTACTGCAAAGCATATCGTTTTGCTTTAATTGGAGCTTCTTTTTAAAAAGTGTTTTATTATGCAGTGGTCCAAATGAAAGGAAATAAAGTCTGTCCTATATCCTGTAGATATACTGCATAAAATCAAGGGATTGCTTGTATTCTAGAAAAGGAGAAGTAAATACATGGTCTTCTATGGGTGTGGCTGATGGTGTCCCATGTATGGGTCCCCATCGCTGTCGTGATATTTAGGGAATGGAGGCTTCCTTTTCTTAAGCTGTATTTGTTTCATTGGTGCCTTTTCATGATATGTGACTAGTTTTTTGTTAAATTGTGTTTTGATGTGTCCCCTCTTGTAGCAAGAACATCTCTGTTTGTGAACAAGTGCCATAGAAATCAAACACTTGGTCACCTTAAAGGGTACAAGCCTCAAAGCAGCTAGAAAATAACAGCAAAATAGGTCCTCAAAAGCAGCTAGAAAATAACTAAAAACTTTTACCCAGCTCACCTGTCACACCTGCTTCTGTGGTTTGTGCATATTACCTGCCCCCAGACAAACAAAATCTACCATCTTTCTCTCCTTCCCTTCAGTTTTACAAACATTTCCCTACTTAGTTGCCTTCAAACAGTTCCTTCTTTCCACTTGTAACAAAGGGCTAATGAGATTGTTACTAAGAGCCACCTAAAGAAATCTCATTGAGATCTGGTCCAGTTTCGCTCAGTTTTCTCATGTTCCATCATTGGCTAACTTATGCATTAATCTCTGTAATCAAGGTTAAGTGACCTTGAAACACTTTGTCTGCCTTTGTTATTTTCCAGTTCCCTAGCCCCTGCCACAATAAAAGGTAAAGGTTTCCCCTTGACATTACGTCCAGTCATGCCTGACTCTAGGGGGTGGTGCTCATCTCCATTTCCTAGCCGAGGGAGCCAGCTTTTGTCTGCAAACAGTCTCTGTGGTCATGTGGCCAGCATGACTAAACACTGAAGTGCACGGAACGCTGTTACCTGCCCACTGAAGTGGTGCCTTTTTATCTACTTGCATTTGCATGCTTTCAAACTGCAAGGTTGGCAGGAGCTGGGAGGGAGCAACGGGAACTCACCCCATTGTTCAGATTCGAACCAGCGACCTTTCGATCAACCAGCCCAGCAGCACAGCGGTTTAAACCACTGTGCCACCTGCCGGGCCCTACAATTTATCATTAATTATATCTAGTACTTCAGAACCTGAACACCAAACTCATTAATGCTCTTTATTAAGAGTATTCATAGGGATGGACTTGAGTATGTTGTGAACTATTTTTCAAAGCATGGAGAGAACAAAATGCTGTTCTTGTTCAAAAACACTTGTAAGCGCATGTGTTGGGAAGAAAAAAAAATCCTAAAATTGTAAAGTATGACAAAGAAGATGAAACATCACAAAAGTGTGAAGAATTATTCAAATATCTATCTTTCAGATATATAGAAGTGTCTTCTGGAATTGCAGTTTAAAATACACCTTCTGTTGAAGATAGTTTTCACTGTATTTGAACCTTGAAAACAGCCCTGACCTCTTAGTAACCCTAGACTTCCCTTTTAGTTTAAAAATGGACATCCTTAGCATCCCACTCACTGCATTTCCTCAACTATTAATGACATAAGCATGTCTTAAATTAAGGAGAGGAGCCAGTGGTTGTTTGAGGTCTGAGCCCAGCAAAATCCCTGAGACACAGGCATTCATCTTTCTTTGTTCTTATGAGCATTTCTCTCCTGCCTGTCAAATGCATATTCATCACTCTGGGCACTTAAAACAATTAATATAACAACATAATCTTTAACTACAGTATCAATCAAAATACAGTGTAAATGCAGGCAGGTAGAACAGAACAACACACCGTGGATAAAGCATAACCTTCAGATGGGCAAAAACATGACACAACAAAAAAACCTATCTCTGGGCAGAAGACCGGGGGGCGGGGGGCTTCAGACTGCTTGGAGCCAAATATTCCACAGCGTGAGTGTAGCCACTGAAAAAAACCTTTGTTGCAGTCATCTATAGGCAGGACACAGAATGGGATCTACTGTGTAGTCATGGTAAAGTTTTTAACAGAATGTTAGGTTCTGCTACCCTTTTTCTCAATCCAGAAGTAAGTTAGGTCTCAATTTTAAATGCCAACTGATGAATCGAAACTAAATTCAGTTCCCTGATCTTGCCTGCCTCAGTGGCATCATCTCCTCTCTTTAATAGGCATTTATTCTTCCCTGAATCCTGTGGAAGTTCCACACTTTCAAGGGTGGCCTTTCCCCCCTGGTCTGGAGGCAGAGTCTACCAATTTTAGTTGCGCCACCATGAAAGGAACTTCCTCTCATGTGTCAGAGGTTTCAGAAACATAACATGAGGACATTGCCCCCTGGAGCTTAGCCTAAAGAAAGAAGAAAAGGGGGGTGCCTGGTACAAAGAAAAGAGAGAGGGAATAGCCGGTTTTTACTCTTGTCCATTGTCAAAAAGGGCAGGCAGTTGACCAGTGCCTGTGAGGAATGGGCACCCTCACTGCCTTAATGCCAAAGGAAAGCTTATCCTTGAACACCTTGCTACACAGCACTTTGTTGGCAGTCCTTTCTATACCTGGAACTCCAACTGGAGGAAAGGCAGGATGCAATCAGATTAGGCAAGAAAGTAATTGATGCCTATGTAAGGAAAGAATGAGCCAGTTTGTACATTATGCTATACCATAGTTGAGTACTACATGAGAGGGCTTGAATGAAAGGGTTGGGTATGTGTGCTTCCTTGTCCTGCTCTCACACAACTTGGAGGAAAATTTCAACAGCATGTAGTTTTGTTTACGCAGACACTGGCTTGTCATTATGTACAAATCAGAGATTGTGGTTTGAAACAAACTGTAGTCAATTGACCAAGCCAGCTGATGAATCCAAGGCTTAAAGTTGGCATGTTCAGCGACTGCTTCAGTTCTGTTTTAAGCCACTTATTGTGGATACGGAAAAGCCAGATTTTGTGGAAGGCAAAACAAAGTTCTGCTCTAGACCTGCTTCTAGCTGTGTAGTAGGTCTCAAGAAGAAGTATCCAAATCTGATTCCTGGGCTCATTCAGGCTTGTCTGTGTGGTGTTAAATTATAGTTAATCATGAACTATCTCTTGTTCAGAGGTAGTTTGGCTATTGGGCAGTATAGAAAAATATCTTCATCTTCCCTTATCAAATATAGATTCATCCCATAAGTAAGACTTTTGTTTCATTCTCAAGATCACCAGTTGTTTAAGGTTTTGTCGGCATGCAGTCAGGCATATGTGCATATGCTTTGATTTTACAGGAGCACAGTATTTAGCTTCCTAAAAACTAGTTCTCTTTAAAAAGATTTCTAGCCCTCATGCAAATGTAAGTTTGATAATGTGTGGACAATGCTTGCTTGGAAGCTGGAGAGTGACTGAATAGGTATCATTCATTAGAACACTGGGCTGTGCTCTTACCTGTGACTAGAAAAATGAGAATAAATTCTGCCAAATTAGAAATTATTCATAACAGCCTTGCTGGATCATCCTAAAAGCCTACCTATTCTGTGTTCTTTTCCCACAGAGGCTAGCCAAACACAAATTTGCTTACTGTGTGTAACATGCATCTATCCTTTTATCTTGAAGAATTTTAATTTATTTAGCACTTCTCTAGTATGGTGTACATTGCCATTCATGTAGTAATAGATATCTTAATGGATGGATCAGGCAATTGGCTATTCATAGATATTTTTAGCAGCCACCATATTGCAAATGTTTGCTTGAATTGACTGCACACTTTATCCCAATGCATGATGGGACAACTTTAGCATTTACCTACAAATTAAATTCTCTCTGGAAAACTATCTGCATAGATAACTGC